GGATGAGTCATTATAATTGTACTCCAACCTCCCTCTTGAACAACTTGGCCAGGGTATTTGAGGTGTTTTTTTTTTTATAGCAGATGGTAAGCTATTACACAACGTAGCCGAAACCCTCCCAAAACATTTGTTTCCGTAGGTCACAGTCCGAGATTTTGGGACACACAACAAAGATTCTGACTCCGACCGCAGTGATCGTGATGGCTGATGCAGGGTAACAAGCTCCTGTAGGTACTGAGGAGCTGTTCCATTCAGTGCCTTGTATGTGTATACCAGAATTTTGTACTGCGACCTGTAACCAGGTAACAAGTGCAACAAATAAAGCGCATGTGTGATGTGCTCTCTCTTTCGAGTACGAGTAACTAGCCGTGCTGCAATGTTCTGGACCCTCTGCAGACGACTAGTTTGTTTGTCAGATAATCCAACCGAGAGGTAACAAGTGAATGCACCAAAATCTTGCATGCATCTGCAGTTATAAACTGCTGAATACAGCCGATGTTCCTGATCTGGTAGTAACAGGATTTGGCAATAGCGTTCACTTGTTTCTCCATGTTCAGTGAACTATCAAAGTACACCCCTAGGATTTTAACAGCTGGAACAGTCTCAATACTTCTGGCACCGACCTTGAGCTGGAGAGCCATTGTTTGCTGGCACTTTGGGGAAAAGACGATTACTTCCGTCTTTTCATAATTAAGCTTAAGCATGTTGTCGTTCATCCAGATACTGATATCTGTCAGACAAGCTTCCAGATGTTCTGAGACTGTATTCCAACTGTCCTGTGGTTTGATGACCATGTAAATTTGTGTGTCATCAGCATTGCAATGATAGCGAAGGCTATGGCTACAACAAATCTCTCCAATCGGTTTTGAGTACATACAATATTTTCGTGGTCCTAACACCGACTGTTGAGGAACCCCGAAATCTAGTACTTTGTCATGTGAGGTGGAAGATCCGATGGCAACACACTGTCGTCGTTCACTCAGATAAGACTGTATCCAGCATAGTGCGGTATCAGTCACTCCATAAGAGTATTCCAGACGTTTATAAAGTATGCCATGTTCGATGACGTCAAATGCAGCTGACAAGTCCAGCATGACAAGCACCGCTCTGCACTATTATATACACGTAGGAGGGCCGTCTCAGTAGAGTGTCCGTTGCGGTAGGCCGATTGCATGTTGTCATGTTTGCATGGAGATGAACCTCTAAACGACGGGGCACAACCTTCTCCAAGATCTTAGACTGAAAAGGCAGATTTGAAACTGGGCGGTAGTTTTTCAACTCCTCCTTGTCCATTCAAGGCTTCTTTAACAATGGCCTGACATGTGCCTTCTTGAAACATAATGGAACCTGACTCAGCCAATGATTTGTTCATGATTGAGGTAATCAAAAGAAGCAGTGCTTCAAGACATTGCTTTAATAAGTCTGTAGGCAGTGGATCAAGCTCACAGGACTTCGATTGCGAGGTCATGATAATGTTGAGCAATTCCTGATTGAGCTGATTTTATTCAGAAAGTAATCACTGAACTTGCTTCCTAAGTCTTTTTCAGAATTACAGCTTGGTGGGATAATTTCACCTTTCTGGCCCATGAGATTATTGGTGAGTCTAAAAAGCTGTCTATGATCCTTACCACATTCTTGGATTCTTTCCGAATAATAAGCCTTCTTTGACTGAAAGAGAAGTGAACCAACAAGCCGACATTGCTCCCTATAAATCTGTTGGTGAAACGGATACATGTTATGACATTGTGTACCGTAAACAGGACCAGTTGTAAACGGTGTCGTAAAATATCGCCAATGACAACATGAAGACAAGAAAAAATGAAATAAATCAATCAATCGTTTAACTAACGGAAAAATAAAAACAAAATAGAACCAAGACAGATATCCTGTGGGAGTATTTTAGCTACAAGTGGGGCATTTTTCAACTGAAATAGGGGGAATAAAGCTGGAATAGGGTAAACAGTGCAAAAATTGGAGAGGGGAGTTGACCAATACTCGGTCATAAAAAGACCTGTATACATGTATATCTATGACTGTACTATAATTTGAGACCCCTGTGTATAACAAGGCAAGAATCAAACTGTACTTCAATCTCCGTAACCGTATTAAGTAGTGAACTTTGAATCCTCCCTAATTAGCCACAGAATGTTATAGGTAGTTTCTTGTACATTGACCCGCTCCCTATCGGTGACGGCTCAATGTACACATGTATCGGTGTGATAACCCAGTAATAACGCTAAAGTACAAAAGTAACGACGATACACATGCTTCAATGTCCTCACATCACAGCGGGATTTAAACACCAACGTCATAAACATGAACAGTACATAATTCGTCACGTTTCAAATTAAAATATATATATATATATGAAAAGATAGACTTATAACGCAAAGTTTTTCCAGCTGTTTTCAAATTAAAATTGTAGAATTTAACACAAACAAGCCACACAACGTTCGTATTCATATTTTCAGTAAATAACAGACTAGTCTATGCCTACACTAGTTTACGGTGTGAGTGGATAAAATACAGTAACGTTACTTAAAATAGGCTCTTCTTCCAGCTTCAAATTGTATTTCGGAAACCGGAAGTGCACAACTAAAACTCAGAAACAGCAACAGTAACGGAGTTCGAAAATATCGATACGCAAAATGGTCAACTCTGAATAATTATTCGAAAGGTGGTTAAAATCTACTCACATGAACTATTTGAATAACAATGATCACGCGTGTAGACTTCCGAGTTGAAATCAAACTATTAAGACATACGAACACGTATTAACTCGGTCAGCTTCTTCAGATCAGCATCATACAAAGCTGCATGGTAGTTTCTCGTATATTTCTTAAGATTTTGATAAAAATAGACACTTATGAGTATTATGAAATTAATTTACATGAACTGTTTATACATTCTACTCGAACGATTTAAAGGCTAGGTTTGTTTTGAACGTCATTTTCAGGCCATAACATTAAAGTAATTTTATAGTTTATTTTAAAAAACGGAAATGACGACATTGTCAAGTATCTCTGATTTAATGTGTACTCCGAAATGTAAACAAATTAATAATACCATGGAGGAAATGGCTGACGGAAATGTCATACAGAGACAACGGAAGTTCAATTTCAGGATAAAAAATATCCGGCGGATAAACTGTGCATATGTTTCGATATTTAAACCTTTAAATTTACCAGATTGACAATAATTGTTATTCTAAATAGTTTGTCATAAGAGTTATGATTTACATTATCCTTACAACAGAGAAAGACCTTGTCAAAAACGAGACCTTGTCAAAAAGTCAAAAACGAGACCTTGTCAAAAACGACAATTAGCCATAAAGGTCTACCAACCGAGGCTCGTTTTATATGAGGGACGTCCGAACATGTACAGAGGCCGTTCAGAAACGGGACATCTGACAGGAGAAATGCCCAGCCGGATATAGGGAAGCGTATATCCGATAGGAGGGGCGTCAAATAGGAGTCAGGAACAACAACATGGTATATCGTATCATAAACATCGGAAGTCATAACAGAACGAAACGATACTTAGTTGTAAGACATGTGTACGGCACACAGAACGAAACGATACTTAGTTGTAAGACATGTGTACGGCACACAGAATGAAACGATACTTAGTTGTAAGACATGTGTACGGCACACAGAACGAAACGATACTTAGTTGTAAGACATGTGTACGGCACGTACAGTTCTTCCCGCAGTAACAACATTAAAGAATCTACAAATGTTTCGAGTTGTATACAACAAATTCAGACAAATTTCATCGAAACGACATAAAATCAGTGTAGGACTTGAACAGAATCAAAATAAAACTTCTGTTTTAGAAGAAACCTTTGTAACATTGACTATGACTATGAAAAAATGTCATCGACATCCTAAAACCCGATTTTCCGATTTTTATATTTTGAACAAATTAATAAAATATATATTTTTAACCTTGCAGTACTAAGTTCTCTCTTGGTGATTTTATTGACTTGATATCACTTACACCGTGTATGTCACGATACGAAATGTGTTTATAAGTCTACTTACCTATCTAATCTAGGCCTATCAGTCGAACAGGTATTTATAAATCGACTTATGCATCATATTGAACGGATGATATATCAGCTTATATATGTCGATATGATGTAAAATACCTATCGTGTTGTTTTCCCGTTTGTTGTCATTTAAATCTAAATGTTTTTTTCAATGCCCGTTATTTGTTCTTTTTCTTTAGTGGATCCGGATAACAGAATATAGAAATAGAAACGTTCATCCCTTTCTGGGCGAGACTGGAAAATATCTGAGTGAGGAGCAAGATTCTCAAACCCGAAGCATGCCCAGAATTTAAGAATATTACCCCATGGTTTAGGATAAAATGCCAATCTCTTTTCAGAGGGTAACTGAATATTATTATTATTATTTAATCCAATGTGAGAGAAAAAATGAAAATCTGTATTTTTTCCTGAACCAAACTTTGATATATGACGTTGTCTGTTTGTATTAAGTGACGTAATTCAATTGTTAAAAGTGACGTCACAGAAACATGCAGGGTGTCTCGCCCTAGGTCGGGACATGAAATCTCACACCGGGGAAAAACATCGATACATCGGTCCAGGTAAGAGAAAAAGTGACGTCATCATTCCTTGTCAAATTTAATGACATCTTATTGACGTAATATACACGTACGGAGTGGGTTCATACGATTAAGAAGTTGCGTTTATCTCAATTTTTTCTAAACAAGGATGAAAAGAAGGCCGTGATCCATTTTACCACATGACTTGACGATTCTTTTACAAAGAAAAGGAGTCTTTATATCAAAAGGGGGTTCAACGATAAGGGAATGTGTCAAACAAGTGTAGTGGGCCTAGAACGAGCTACCAGAGCTCCGCCGTAAGTGACTAACCATACGTCTCCAACACGCTACACGACGAGCCTGCAAACGTCTAGTGCAGTCTACTAGGCGCAGTCGGTCAAGCATCTCGGCAATTGTTTATATATATGTTAGTTCATCTACAATGAGGATGATCTCATCAAAAGCTTACCCTTCGCCCTCTCCCTCTCCTGTCATATATATAGATGATAGATAACGCCGCGGGTAAAACCGATTACGGTGGTCAGGGTCGGTCAGTCCTGAGATAGGTACTGACGACACTGCATCCATACTAACAGGGATGACGGGTCACTTTTAATCCGTGTTGTTTGTTTGTTTGTTTGTTCTTGTTGATGTTGATGTAATGGCGTACTGGACTAACTTGTAAACACCATGCCGAGCCACGACAATACCGTTAACGTTAACGGTGGATACGAAATTAACACGTCAAAGATGGAGTCACCTTACGTTCAGTTGGAGAAGCAGGAGACGGTAGCTCCGACGCAGGTGAGAGTTAATTAAAAACATTTCATAACTACCTTTTGGTTAATAAACGAAAATATTGAATAACTTCATATGTATTAATTATCAAAACTTAAACATGCCTACCCTATCTCCTCGCCTAGTTTGAACGCGTTGAATATTGACTTTAACATTCATTGTAGATCTAGTTTTAGTTTAAACAGTATTTTATTCAATATGGCAGTGACAAAATAGTACAAAAATCAACAAAGAGGATTCGAGAACAAGTACATAAGTACTTAAATCAAATTATATCTAATTTTGTTGGGTTATTCTCAGTTTTCGTAGGATCTCAACTCACAAGATTTACACACGAGCATCACTTCATCAAATCCAGCAATCGATATTAATTGCGGGCAGGTTTATCTCACTGTTATAACCAGTATATTATACTGTATACTATACTTAATAGTGGTTTACTTATATTGGTATATGGTTCAACTCTGCATGAATTGTATGACACACTACACCGTACACAGATACACAGTTTTTTTCCGCTGCTGTCAGCACTATTATATAAATAAAAGTTGGTTGATATTATTTTAATAACATCATTGCTGATAATGTCACAGCTCTGTAGTTGTAGGTTCATAAACTACAGACATGTAATATCAAGGTAATAGGTTTGACTGATCCGCCTTCGCCATTCTCTACCCCAAAATATGTACCGTACTACCTACCTCCCTACCGTCCAGTCAACACCGTCTATCAGTTAAATAAAACAGTTACCTTAACAGGGTATATTGTTATAAAAAACATACGTACATTTAAGTTAAGTTAAAGTTAGTTTCCAATACAGGAGCCGATAGAGCTCCTCTTCACTGGACTCAAAAATTAAACAATTGAATGATATAAAGTTAAAATATATCGTTGCTACATCTTTGCATTTTGAATTGAGAAAAACTTCGAACATGTAATTTATGAAGAATATGAATAATAATTTGAATAAAATCGATAAACTAATGGATCTATTGCGTATGGGTATTGTGTTTGAAAACCATACGCAACTAATGTATCACTATTTAGGTATGTGTAAATGATAATAAAGGCTATATTCTGGATACCTGTGTAACAAGCAAGGACACGTACCTGAATTTTGAACAGATTTATAACCAAAAAATATTTTCAATATGAAAATTCTAAATATCCTTTTATTATTTAAAATCTAATTACATAGTTTATTCCACAAATAACAGATTGTATCACTTAGTAAGTGTAGTATAGTTCGAATTTTATTTTAAAGTTCGATGATATAACAGTTGGTAAAATAATCTGTATTTCTGTGTCTTCCCAAAAACATGATAAAACTGAACGTCACAAGAAGATCAAAGAAAAGTGATCTTTAAAAATTGGAAATTAACTGAAAAGTTATCTTTCAAAACTGGACTTTAACAGGAGGCCTGAGTTTCCAAAAAATACCTTTTTTACAAGGTGACGATTCAAATATGTCCGACTTAAAAAAAAGCAGCTTCAAAACTGGAAAAAAATAGACGTTCACAGACAGTTTATGTTCCTATATGACTACAAAAATGAATTTAAGAGATTTATGCACCTTAATTTGACTTTTCTTTGGTCTCATAACCAGAACTAAACTGTTTACGTAAAGAACTACAGTACAGTGTAAAAACCAAGGACTATAGAATGGTAGCAAAACGGCACTCCCATGTCACGTGGTATCTGAAGTGTCGTCTTCTACATAACGAAACTAGTCTTACTGCTGGCCGAACGTGGTAAGTCTAACAGCATACGTACAGAAAGTGGTATGTCATGCTGCATACTGTATGTGTTAAGTCTTCTCGCATACAAAATGGGTTAAGTAAAACTGTGTACAGTGCGTGTTAAGTCTTACTGCGTACAAAGTGTGGTAAGTAAAACTGTTTACAGTGCGTGGTAGGTTTTACTGCGTACAAAGTGTGGTAAGTAAAACTGGTTACAGTGCGTGGTAAGTTTTACTGCGTACAAAATGTGGTAAGTAAAACTGTTTACAATGCGTGGTAAGTCTTACTGCGTACACAATTAATGTGGTAAGTAAAACTGTTAACAGCGCGTGGCAAGTTTTCCTGCCTACAAAATGTGGTAAGTAAAACTGTAATAGTGCGTGGTAAGTCTTACTGCGTACAAAATGTGGTAAGTAAAACTGTTTACAGTGCGTGGTAAGTTTTACTGCGTACAAAATGTGGTAAGTAAAACTGTTAACAATGCGTGCTAAGTCTTACTGCGTGCACAATTAATGTGGTAAGTAAAACTGTTTACAGTACGTGGTAAGTCTTACTGCGTACAGAACGTGTATGTCATAATAATTATTTGCACAGAACGTATCAATGTTATAATTCTGTTGTGATTCATCATATTATTTTTACATTTCATATCAATTAATTACTGTAATCCCTGTACACAGTGGTCATCAGTAAGATATTATTGATGGGTGCAATCTTTACACAGTCTAACTTTAGCATCATTGTGTGTTGACTGATCACATTATCACTATGACCCACACCTAGATATACATCACTATCATCCAGTTCTTGTTAAATATATAACGTAAATGTCGTACGCGTGTTAAGTGTCACTTGAGGTCATGGTTAAAGTCCGCCATCAGCCTCACAGTGGTCTATGTAACTGTCCTAAACAGACTCACAGTGGTCTATGTAACTGGCCTAAACAGACTCACAGTGGTCTATGTAACTGTCCTATACAGACTCACAATGGTCTATGTAACTGTACTAAACAGACTCACAATGGTCTATGTAACTGTACTAAACAGACTCGCAGTGGTCTATGTAACTGGCCTGAACAGACTCACAGTGGTCCATGTTACCGGCGTGAACATGCTCACAGTGGTCTATGTAACCGGCCTGAACAGACTCACAGTAGTCTATGTTACCGGCCTGAACAGACTCACAGTGGTCTATGTAAGTGGCCTGAACAGCCTCACAGTGGTCTATGTAACCGGCCTAAACAAACTCACAGTGGTCTATGTAAGTGACCTGAACAGCCTCACAGTGGTCTATGTTACCGGCCTGACCACCCTCACAGTGGTCTATGTAACTGGCCTAAACAGACTCACAGTGGTCTATGTAACTGTCCTATACAGACTCACAATGGTCTATGTAACTGTACTAAACAGACTCACAATGGTCTANGACAGCCTCACAGTGGTCTACGTAACCGGCCTGAAGGACAAAGCTCTATGTAGGCTAGCTCTCATCAGACGTAGTAATAATGTCTTCAGAAGAAAAATATATCGCTCAGGGATAAATCATATAATCAAATTCAAGTTCATTTCAAGTATCGACACATATACTTCGACCTGACACATGATAGTAGATTCACGTAACTGGTCACCGTGAACAACAACAAACGATATAGTAATATCGTGACCTCAATTCAAGGTCATCGACGTTCATGGAGACTTTGAATTACCGGTTGTCACAACCTTTTGAAATATGAAGTTTTAATGCAACTTACTTTTGGATTAAAAATATATGTACAGTGACGCCTATTGACTTTCGGCGCAAATCTGCTTGTTTCTTTCTGTCAAACAGGTTTTAGATAAATATTAATGTATTTTGATACCATAGTATCAATTCCGAAAAATATTTGTTCGTTTTTTATAAATAGACACAATCCCCTTATCTGTTCTATTACAAGTTGTTTTTTCCGACACGTGATTCTCTAAATAGAACGCGAAATACTATCACGGTTACGTAAGCCATTGAACAGGTGTAACTGTCCGCTGAGAGAGGAAGCACCTGGGTATGTTGGCTACTAGCGGGTTGCAAATCGATCAATAAAAGCAGATAAGTATACAAAGTTCAAATGTTTTAGAGTTAGAGGAGATTCTGTTAAACTTCTTCTACAAAAAAACAACACTTATGAAAAAATTAACTTCAGCAAATGATATCCAAAAAAATAGCATCGCACGCCACGTAAATTTGTTTTCGTCGGCAGCCGATAAAGCTGATATACTTATTAATTGACATACAAGTATCATTAAGTGAAAACTGCACACATAGAAATACTTCCATGCGTTGCTTTCCTATTTCGTCGGCCATTTTCCCATCAGTGTGCCGTTTGGGGTACTGTCCCGTTTTGGGGTACTGTCCCGTTTTGGGAACATTGATGTAAGTAACTATCAAACTCGTACCAAATTGCCCCTTACTGTCCCCTTTTCAATCCGTTCTTTAATAATACAATGCGATAATTTTAATCAGTGGTCGACAGCTTCAGAGATTATCCGTTTATATATATAATTACAACAGCTTACATCGAATGTCTAATTCAGATGTAAACTTACCAATTGCAAGCTATGTTTCTTAAACATTTCCGCTGTGGTATTTTTTATAACAATTCTCTGTGTTCAATGCTGTACTCACGCTGTTGCTCATCTATAACGTCGCCGCTGTTCTCTGTGAACACGCGACGACGTTCTTTGAACAGCGTCGCCGCTAGGTGGCGTGATCTCCATTTGAATCTTTAAGATGGCGACTGAAAATGATTCGATTGAGACGAAAAAAGAAGCAAAACAAAAGGTATATTATACATAGAAATGTAATTCAGATTCGGGATTCAAGAAACTCCTTAACTAAAAGATATTTTTAATTCAAATTTCTCCGTAGAGACATCATTGCTTAAATTACAGAAAAATCTTACCTCAAGCTGAAACGTTCGCGGGGGTCTTCCGAAATATTTCAACTACCTATAGGATAGTCTGTGATGGTGTACATTGAGGCAAGCCAGTTATGACTTTTATCGAATTATCTTTTATGCTTGAAATATAATTTGAGACGTATAAAGTCACAATGTACGTCCTGCTAGAATATATATTACAGTTAAATAACCTCATATATCGGAGCAATACAAGATGGCGGTTTCTCGTGTGTAATGGTGACGCAGGGGTTATGATGTAGCGATTTGTAGGTTTTTACTTTATTGGTTAATAATAACTCTTTTTCGTTCGTTACAGAAGAAGAAAAGTCGACTGAGGGAGAAGCTATACCACGTATTCACCGTCGTGGTCTTGGTGACGCTCTCACACTTGGCACTGCACGCGCAATGGTTGTTACCCATCTTCTACGCAATATCACTACCAATTGTCATCTCCATTCGCATCTTCATCTATTTGTAAGTATCACAGAACCATAAACTTTGAGCTATGGCGGGTTGCTTTGCCTATTTCCCCCTGATCGATGACCCACTAGTGTGCGCGTCCAACCGTGCACTGTTATGACGCGTACTCAGGTATTTCTATACAGGTAGCTCTATCGGAATCCCGTGTCTAAGAATAGATTATTGTAAACAGACGAATTTAAGGTCATGGCTATTAATTAATACATGCGTTTCACGAATAAGACTCAACAAAATACTTATTTCGTTCTGCTGTATGAAACACAAGATCGTACAATCATTACCAAGTTTGAAAGGATTTAATTCTCATTACTATTGCCTACGTCATGCCGTTACATGTTTTCTTAAAAAGCACGCATCTTGATTTTGTTCTTCCTGTACTTTGGAATGGTAAAATTACATATAGTTTTCGAATAGCATGTCTTACACGTGTATTGCGCTCCTAACTTTGTGCTGCAGTCTTCCTGCATTTAAAACAAATGAGACTGTCCTCGACGATGAATTTTCCCGCATGTTGCGATAATAGCACTTCTTTTTTTTATTTGCCTTTTTTATTCTGACGCAACAATCAAACGTATTATTATTTCGGCATCATTTGTTTGTGTTAAGATAATAAATAAAAAACTAGTGCCAATTGGAGGGTTAAACAATTCATAAAACAAAACGTAGCTGTACTGTACACCCGTACAGGGATTTGTTGACATGATTCCATAGAAGATAAATCAAGAGGTATGTTATTGAAATATAAATAAAATGTTCCATTTATTTGAAAACTATTTTTCACTTTCCTAAGGAAAATGATCACTTGCCTAAATATTAAAAAAGAAAGAAGAAAAAAAGGGTATCTGAATGTGGATTCGAATCTACACCGTTCATATTACGTTAGGCTACACCGGACATATTACGTTAAGCTACACCGGTCATATTACGTTAGGCTACACCGTTCATATTACGTTTGGCTACACCGTTCATATTACGTTTGGCTACACCGTTCATATTACGTTAGGCTACACTGGACATATTACGTTAGGCTACACCGGACATATTTCGTTAGGCTACACCGGACATATTACGTTAGGCTACGCCGGACATATTACGTTAGGCTACACCGGACATATTTCGTTAGGCTACACCGGACATATTACGTTAGGCTACAACGGACTCATTACGTTAGGCTACACCGGACATATTACGTAAGGCTACACCGGGCATGTTACGTTAGGCTACACCAGACATATTACGTTAGGCTACACCGGACATATTACTTTAGGCTACACCGGACATATTACGTTAGGCTACGCCGGACATATTACGTTAGGCTACACCGGACATATGCCGTTAGGCTACACCGGACATATTACGTTAGGCTACGCCGGACATATTACGTTAGGCTACACCGGACATATAACGTTAGGCTACACCATTCATTTTACGTTAGGCTACACCGTTCATATTACGTTAGGCTACGGACATATTACGTTAGGCTACACCGGAAATATTACGTTAGGCTACACCGGACATATTACGTGAGGCTACACCGGACATATTACGTTAGGCTACACTGGACATATTACGTGAGGCTACACCGGACATATTACGTTAGGCTACACCGTTCATATAACGTTAGGCTACACCGGACATATTACGTTAGGCTACACCAGACATATTACGTTAGGCTACACCGGACATATTACTTTAGGCTACACCGGACATATTACGTTAGGCTACAACGGACTCATTACGTTAGGCTACACCGGACATATTACGTAAGGCTACACCGGACATATTACGTTAGGCTACACTGGACATATTACGTTAGGCTACCCCGGACATATTACGTTTGGCTACACCGTTCATATTACGTTTGGCTACACCGTTCATATTACGTTTGGCTCCACCGTTCATATTACGTTAGGCTACACTGGACATATTACGTTAGGCTACCCCGGACATATTACGTTAGGCTACACCGGACATATTACGTTAGGCTACACCGGACATATTACGTTTGGCTACACCGTTCATATTACGTTTGGCTACACCGTTCATATTACGTTAGGCTACACTGGACATATTACGTTAGGCTACACCGGACATATTTCGTTAGGCTACACCGGACATATCACGTTAGGCTACACCGGACATATTACGTTAGGCTACAACGGACTCATTACGTTAGGCTACACCGGACATATTACGTAAGGCTACACCGGACATGTTACGTTAGGCTACACCGTTCATATTACGTTTGGCTACACCGTTCATATTACGTTTGGCTACACCGTTCATATTTCGTTTGGCTACACCGTTCATATTACGTTAGGCTACGGACATATTACGTTAGGCTACACCGGACATATTACGTAAGGCTACACCGGACATATAACGTTAGGCTACACCATTCATTTTACGTTAGGCTACACCGTTCATATTACGTTAGGCTACAACGGACATATTACGTTAGGCTACACCGGACATATTACGTTAGGCTACACCGGACATATTACGTTAGGCTTCACCGGACATATAACGTTAGGCTCCACCGGACATATTACGTTAGGCTACACCGGACATATTACGTTAGGCTACACCGGACATATTACGTTAGGCTACACCGGACATATTACGTTAGGCTACACCGGACATATTACGTTAGGCTACACCGGACATATTACGTTAGGCTACACCGGACATATTACGTTAGGCTACACCGGACATATTACGTTAGGCTACACCGGACATATTACGTTAGGCTACACCGGACATATTACGTTAGGCTACACCGGACATATTACGTTAGGCTACACCGGACATATTACGTTAGGCTACACCGGACATATTACGTTAGGCTACACCGGACATATTACGTTAGGCTACACCGGACATATTACGTTAGGCTACACCGGACATATTACGTTAGGCTACACCGGACATATTACGTTAGGCTACACCGGACATATTACGTTAGGCTACACCGGACATATTACGTTAGGCTACACCGGACATATTACGTTAGGCTACACCGGACATATTACGTTAGGCTACACCGGACATATTACGTTAGGCTACACCGGACATATTACGTTAGGCTACACCGGACATATTACGTTAGGCTACACCGGACATATTACGTTAGGCTACACCGGACATATTACGTTAGGCTACACCGGACATATTACGTTAGGCTACACCGGACATATTACGTTAGGCTACACCGGACATATTACGTTAGGCTACACCGGACATATTACGTTAGGCTACACCGGACATATTACGTTAGGCTACACCGGACATATTACGTTAGGCTACACCGGACATATTACGTTAGGCTACACCGGACATATTACGTTAGGCTACACCGGACATATTACGTTAGGCTACACCGGACATATTACGTTAGGCTACACCGGACATATTACGTTAGGCTACACCGGACATATTACGTTAGGCTACACCGGACATATTACGTTAGGCTACACCGGACATATTACGTTAGGCTACACCGGACATATTACGTTAGGCTACACCGGACATATTACGTTAGGCTACACCGGACATATTACGTTAGGCTACACCGGACATATTACGTTAGGCTACACCGGACATATTACGTTAGGCTACACCGGACATATTACGTTAGGCTACACCGGACATATTACGTTAGGCTACACCGGACATATTACGTTAGGCTACACCGGACATATTACGTTAGGCTACACCGGACATATTACGTTAGGCTACACCGGACATATTACGTTAGGCTACACCGGACATATTACGTTAGGCTACACCGGACATATTACGTTAGGCTACACCGGACATATTACGTTAGGCTACACCGGACATATTACGTTAGGCTACACCGGACATATTACGTTAGGCTACACCGGACATATTACGTTAGGCTACACCGGACATGTTACGTTAGGCTACACCGTTCATATTACGTTAGGCTACACCGGACATATTACGTTAGGCTACACCGGACATAGACGAATAGGGAAAAAATACAAAATCCTTTATCCCAAGATACATCTGTCACAGTTTTGAAAGCCTGATCAACCCTGTTTTTCATCATTTTGAGCACTTTCCCAAAGGAGGACCACTTTTCCGTCATACGATTTGTTTTTACATATTACATCATGGAATCAAAAGGTTTATTCAAAAGTTGGTCCTCGGATGGGAAAGTATTCAAAACATTTTTTAAGTCTGGGAAACCTCTTCACTTTTATAGATATAGTGAATATGGCTATATTTGGAGTATTATATTAACAATACCGAATATCTCAACAGTTCAAAAATTCATATTCAATTGGTTTTATATCTATTCCATGCATTTTTGCTACTAAAAAATATTTGTTCACAATAGCGGGAGGGTCATTAGAGACCCTGCTCTTCTAGCCATACATTGGGGTGAACATTTTGAAGGCATATATTCCCAGTAGTCTCTTAATGACTTTGATGCTAATTTTGAAGACCAAATCAATACATCTGTTGCCAATATTCTATCCAATCATATATTAAACAATGAATGTTTTGTTGAAATTTCTATGTCTGACGTTAAAAGGGTCTGTAAAAGTTTACCACGAGGTAAAGCAGATGGGCACGATCAAATTGTGTACGAGCATTTACTCTATGCCCACGACACTGTGTACAACTGTTTGTATGTTCTTTTTAATGTTTTTTTTAAGATTGGAGTATGTTCCTCCTGTACTCACAAAGGGTCTGATCTGTACACTATACAAAGGTCATAACAAGCCAAAGAGTGACCCCAATATTTATCGTGCTATCTCTCTGTTGCCAGTGATTCTTAAAGTCTTTGAGAAATTATTACTTATCAGACTTGAGGATACAAACTTGTTTATACCTAACCCCTTACACAATGGATTTCAAAAGAATGTAAGTAGTACTATGACGTCATTTCTAGTCCATGAATCTATCACATATGCGTGTGATAATAACAGTAAACTTTTAACATGTTTTCTTGATGCTGCCAAAGCATTTGACTGTGTTTGGCATAACGGCCTATTTTTCAAACTTCACAGTTTAGGTCTAAATTCAAAGTATATCAATATCATTGTTTCATTATACTCAAATATGTACAGCGCAGTATTGCACCAAGGTTTTATTTCTAACTGGTTTAAGATATGCCAAGGTACGCGTCAGGGAAGCATTATTTCTCCCTGGCTGTATACAGTTTTTATTAATGATTTACTGGATGAGTTATGTGCTTCACANAGAGATTGTTCACAGGCTACGTGGTCAATGTTTTGCCTTGCTTAACTGCAACTTATTTGGTACTGGAATCAACCCATTGACTGGTGCTAAGCTGTATAAAACAATTGTAATGCCAAGTAGCCTTTTTGGCTGTGAACTCTGGTATTCACTTTCCGAGACCGAATGGCATCGCATTGAAACAGTTCACCATTTGTGTGCAAAGCTCATTCAAGGTTTTCCGCGGCGCACTCGATCAGATATTGTCCTTAGTATGCTTGGACTTACGTCCATACGTCTAAACATTGAGTTATTGAAACTTCGATTCTTCTCTGCTTTATGCAGAACAGATGCACGTTTTACACGCTTTGTACCAATTTTTGCAAACTGGGTTTGTCCCGGTTAAAAACTATTGGAAACACTTCACAAAAGGTGTCGTATTAGGTAAGTACCCCTCGCAATGGAGTGAACGTCTCAATGCTTGTGATGAGTTCTTAAGATTTAAACACCTGCATTGTGAATTCAGCCCTTCGCCGCTATGGTACCTATCTAAATGTTTCCCTTATCTCAACACAACGTGTAAAAACGTTGCAAAGCTATGGGGTATTCCACCTAATAGTGAACTATCAGGTGCCCAGTGCAATATCTTTGCAGAAGATGCAGTTGCGCATTGTATATTAGACTGCCGTAGTCCCACATTGCTAACTCTACGTGATGAACTTTTCACCAAGATAGTCAACGATTATCCGGTTCATGTGTATGTTGTTCTTGCTAACTCATGTAGGGAGGTGCAAATTGCGACATTCCTCGGCATTCCATCTGCTGCCATGAAAGACATATTTGTTAATGAGGACCGCCTTTTCGCATCTTTTGCAAGAGATTGTTGTATTTATGCCGAAAAAGTATCCCTTCTTGCGTTTAATTAACGACGATAGTCTGCCAGACATGTAAACCATATGCATTCGTATTATATCTGGTTCATCCTGGCAATTTGACAGTCCTGTCTTTACATACATGTTCCCATGCTGTTTGATATAGTCCTGTGTATGTCTTTATTTATCGTGGTGTACCTCATATATTGTGTAATCATGTAACTTTTTTTGTTTGATCTCCACAGATTTTTCTTTTTCATTTTACCTTATACTTATGTCCTTTGTGTATCTATATTTGTAACCCATATATATGTCATTTGTAACTCTTCAAATTTGGAGGAATAAAGATATGAATGAATGAAACAATATTTTTTTCCGTTTTCGAAAATGCCGACTTAGGGAAATACGGGCAGTTTTCCGTCATACCTCAAAAGAAAACCGGTAGCACCATACATATGGTTACACTAATAGTAACCAAACATTTTGAAAAGAATATAGTCTATGGTCGAATATCAAGAGACGTAGATCAGAGACGCTTTAAAGGTATATTTCTCACAAGAGTCAATCGAAGGTCAAACTGCACATAATGACCTTCTGCACTTCGTCAGAACTTATGATGATATTGACCATTCGTCACATGTTCAGACAGTATATATATATATATAAACAGGCTAGCATAAAGAAATACTGGACACTAAAACAGTAATGTATTTTATTATATTAATAGGGATGCAACGATATATCGTATCGTGGTATTTTGAATACGGCACGATACACAATACCTTTTGGGAGGTCAGATACACCTACGATATCTTCCGGATTTTGTCTCGTTTCTGAATTTAGTCAACTCATATCGTTTCCAACATGGCGAGTGACAGCTCAAGCTCGGCATGCACCTCGTAAGACATGAATTGGGTAAAAGTTTGCAAAATATCTTCGATTTGCTTCTACTGATATTATATGTATCGTATTGTGATGACAGTATCGTGATAGGTATCGTATTGTGACGACAGTATCGTGATACGTATCGTATTGTGACGACAGTATCGTGATACGTATCGTATCATCATATTAACGTATCGTTGCAGCCCTAATCTTTAATAATGTATACTAACCTCTATATTAGTATAATTTTTGTTTTAATTCTTAAAATATGAAAGAATATAAATATTGTAAGCTAAAATGATAATGCCACGTTGAAGATGGTCGATCCCTGATTTGAACCAACCAAAAACAACAACACTGACCCGAGGACGTCGATGTGGCTGTATTTGGTCGGGTGGTCGGGGGATAAAATCAAGCATCAACTTTATCAATGTTCTATAATTGTAGCTATCATCGTGTATTTCAGCAAAAACAAATGGCACTATTTCCTGTTGGACTTCTGTTACTATGCCAACCTCGCGTGGTTTATTTTTATATGGTAAGTAGTATACTTAAAGTGAAAGTTGTTACACACAGTGAGTGAAATCCTAATCTGAGTACGAAATGTTCATGTGTTATCACAAAATGTATGTGACGGTCTCAGGTATTTATTCTCACCAAAAGATGTAATTCTGGGCAAAATAAAGAAATCCTTGTTTTATGATTTTGCTCAATACTTCCTATACCTGTCTGTTTCGGTAAGAATTTTCGTTTATATTAATGACATGTAATTATTGTAGTAACGTACACAACCCGTTGCACTATTTCACATAACGCATTATATTCCCCAATGAAATCTCGTTTAAATTGTTATCTTATTCAGCGTAAATTAAAGAAAAATGCTTCCTAATGAGTTAATAACATTTGAAATATACAATCAAAATTCAATAATGCACTCTATTAGTTGCCATAGTAACAATACACAACAACGACCATTAGGTCATTGTGAGGTCGTCCCTGTGCTTCGTACGTAGGGTTGGGCAATAATAAATTGCACTACCAATATATTGCAGTACTTGTGTAGTAATTTATATATTGCGATATGATATGGTTTTGAATTGGCAGTATATACTGAAAGATTGAATGAATAATGTCCAAATTAAGCTGACTTGGTCGGATAACTTCCAAAACGTATATAAACTAATTTTCAGTTTATCATTGAAGCTTTCTGTACTCACTTTCCGCACTTTTGCTGTAAAAGTATCAAGAAATAACTGAATTTCTAGTAATACAATATATTGTGATATATATTGCAATATTCCCAAAATACTACAATAGAAAACAATAATCTATGCCCATCCCGATACAGAAGTACGGCCATTGTTGTCATTGTCATTGGCCACGTGTCCCACTTGTCTACCCGAGATATTAAGACCAACGCTGTGTGTTACAGGATAGCTGATAGTCCCCGGATGTTCGCCGTGGTGTTTGGGATCGCTAATGGTCCCCTGTTGTGGGCCATGGTGGTGTACCGGAACTCTCTAGTGTTTCACAATCACGACAAAGTGTCCTCTTCTTTCATACACATAGTACCGGGGACACTGTCGTTCGCGTAAGTGAGCTCATTCAGTACCACTATTATGATGCTTTACCAGTAATCTTTTCGATTTTTGATATTAGAAATCACAGCATTTGAATCATACTCTGAATTACACATGCATTTAAGCACTGAACTGCTTTCAGTTGGCATTCATATTGCCTATGAGTGCCACCTGAAAGCAGTTCAATGCTTATATTTAGCGCATTTTTTGGAATCTCATAGAAAATTCAATTATACTTATAACTATTCAATATTTAGTTCTAATAATGTATGTATCTTGTATACTAAAATACGTGGATGTACGTCCTTAAATGACCTTAGCTGTTAATAGGACGTTAAACAAATTTAAACCAAACCAAACCAAATCGTGTATGTTTGTTCAATAAATAAAACAGCCATCGCCCGGGGTGGGTCAGTGTTATCCAACGTAACAATTATGACGTCAGGCAAATGATGACGCCAACAATCGGCCCATGGCATTCATAGCCTAAATGAATGCCGACTGAATTTGGAAGGGTTATTTAAGGATTAGCTTGAATACATTTTTCATGTTATGGAGATATAACACAAAAAACGGAGTGTACTCTAAATAAACCGCGAAGTGGTTTATGATGAGAGTACATTCCGGTTTTTTGTGTAATAGCTCCATAACATGAAAAATATATTCAAGTTAATCCTTATAATTTTATCTACTAAACACAATCCCTGTGGAAATCCACTTTTATTGATGAACTCTTTTCTCTTAGAAATTATCGCGTTGCTGTATCAACCAATCAAAAGCGACGTTACAAATTGCGATGTCATTTTTATACGTTATGGGCTGATAACATAAATTTTTAAGCCAATGAAAATGCTTGTTACAAGCAAGATTAAATTATATAGTTGCAATGCCATACGATGGTAGATGTTTTCATATCAACGCATATAAGTTAGAATGTGTACCGTTTTAGGTAACCTCTGCTTTCTAAGTTTCTGGGACGTTGTCCGGGGCTTCGTACACAGGTTAAACATGACACTAGGAAACAAGACGAATGTGGTAGAAGACTTACTCACTCTTATGAGATAATGACTTGGTATATAAACTCGTTCTGTTAATTACAGAATACGCTGGTACCCGAAAACTACCTCTACACACTGGGTCAAGGACTTCAACGTGGGAAATACGGACTGGGACCCGGAAATGCTGATATGGCTCTTCCTTATTCCACTCTGTTGTTTTCTTTTTCACAGTGTGAGTACCAGTATATCTCGACAGGTTTAGAGCCCCATTTTCTTTTTCACAGTGTGAATACCAGTATATCTCGACAGGTTTAGAGACCCATATTCTTTTTCACAGTGTGAGTACCAGTATATCTCGACCGGTTTAGAGACCCATTTTCTTTTTCACAGTGTGAATACCAGTATATCTCGACAGGTTTAGAGACCCATTTTCTTTTTAACAGTGTGAGTACCAGTATATCTCGACAGGTTTAGAGCCCCATTTTCTTTTTCACAGTGTGAATACCAGTATATCTCGACAGGTTTAGAGACCCATTTTATTTTTCACAGTGTGAGTACCAGTATATCTCGTCAGGTTTAGAGACCCATTTTATTTTTCACAGTGTGAGTACCAGTATATCTCGTCAGGTTTAGAGACCCATTTTATTTTTCACAGTGTGAGTACCAGTATATCTCGTCAGGTTTAGAGACCCATTTTATTTTTCACAGTGTGAGTACCAGTATATCTCGACCGGTTTAGAGACCCATTTTCTTTTTCACAGTGTGAGTACAAGTATATCTCGACAGGTTTAGAGACCCATATTCTTTTTCACAGTGTGAGTACCAGTATATCTCGACAGGTTTAGAGCCCCATTTTCTTTTTCACAGTGTGAATACCAGTATATCTCGACAGGTTTAGAGACCCATATTCTTTTTCACAGTGGAAATACCAGTATATCTCGACAGGATTAGAGACCCATTTTCTTTTTCACAGTGTGAATACCAGTATATCTCGACAGGTTTAGAGACCCATATTCTTTTTCACAGTGTAAATACCAGTATATATCGAATGGGTTGGAGACCCATTTTTTTTTTCACAGTGTGAGTACCAGTATACCCCGCCGGGTTTAGAGCCCCATTTTTTTTTCCACAGTGTGAGTACCAGTATATCTCGACAGGATTAGAGACCCATTTTCTTTTTCACAGTGTGAGGACCAGTATATCTCGACAGGGTTAGAGACCCATATTCTTTTTCACAGTGTAAATACCAGTATAGCTCGACAGGTTTAGAGACACATTTTCTTTTTCACAGTGTGAGTACCAGTATATATCGACAGGTTTAGAGACCCATATTCTTTTTCACAGTGTAAATACCAGTATATATCGAATGGTTTGGAGACCCATTTTTTTTTTCACAGTGTGAGTACCAGTATAGCTCGACAGGTTTAGAGACCCATTTTTTTTTTCACAGTGTGAGTACCAGTATATCTCGACAGGTTTAGAGACCCATATTCTTTTTAAAATTGAATTAATAAAAACAGTAAGCTAATAAAACGATAACACTCTAAGTCATTCGTTGTGAAATGTCTATGTCCTATGAAAAAAACATGTCACATACAGATATGTTCTATGTTTAATAAACGCTATGCACGTGTTTGTGTTTTATAGGGCATGTATGCCTTGGTCATTCACGTGATAAAAAAGCCAGGTCCGGAACATTTCCTCAGCTACAACTACCTCGGAACAAAGAAAGGCGGATGTATACATTCACTGTTCAACTGCTGTGGGGAAGGGTAAGTCTACTGTCTCGGGAATGGCCAAACGACCCAGGAAAGGTCTACTGACTCTATAAGATTCTACGGTCTCAGGGAATGGCCTACATTGTAGGGGAGGGTCTACTGTCTCAGGGAATGGCCATCATTGTAGGGGAGGGTCTACTGTCTCAGGGAATGACCTTCATTGTAGGGGAGGGTCTACTGTCTCAGGGAATGGCCTACATTGTAGGGGAAGGTCTACTGTCTCAGGGAATGGCCTACATTGTAGGTGAGGGTCTACTGTCTCAGGGAATGGCCTTCATTGTAGGGTAGGGTCTTTTGTCTCAGGGAATGGCCTACATTGTAGGGGAGGGGCTACTGTCTTAGGGAATGACCTTCATTGTAGGGGCGGGTCTACTGTCTGAGGGGATGACCTTCATTGTAGGGGGGGGTCTACTGTCTGAGGGAATGGCCTACATTGTAGGGGAAGGTCTACTGTCTGAGGGAATGACCTACATTGTAGGGGAGAGTCTACTGTCTTAAGGAATGGCCTTCATTGTAGGGGAGGGTCTACTGTCTCATGAAATGGCCTACATTGTAGGGAAAGGTCTACTGTCCCAGGGAATGGCCTTCATTGTAGGGGAGGGTCTACTGTCTCAGGGAATGGCCTACATTGTAGGGGAGTGTCTACTGTCTGAGGGAATGGCCTACATTGTAGGGGAGGGTCTACTGTCTCAGGGAATGGCCTTCATTGTAGGGTAGGGTCTACTGTCTTAGGGAATGACCTTCATTGTAGGGGAGGGTCTACTGTCTGAGGGAATGGCCATCATTGTAGGGGAGGGTCTACTGTCTGAGGGAATGGCCTACATTGTAGGGGAAGGTCTACTGTCTCAGGGAATGGCCTACATTGTAGGGGAAGGTCTACTGTCCCAGGGAATGGCCTACATTGTAGGGGAGTGTCTACTGTCTGAGGGAATGGCCTACATTATAGGGGCGGGTCTTCTGTCTGAGGGAATGGCCTACATTGTAGGAGAAGGTCTACTGTCTCAGGGAATGGCCTACATTGTAGCGGAAGCTCTACTGTCCCAGGGAATGGCCTACATTGTAGGGGAGGGTCTACTGTCTCAGGAAATGGCCTTCATTATAGGGGAGGGCCTACTGTCTCAGGTAAGGGCCTCCATTGTAGAGGAGGGTCTACTGTCTCAGGGAATGGCCTACAGTATAGGGGCGGGGCTTCTGTCTGAGGGAATGGCCTACATTGTAGGGGAGGGTCTACTGTCTGAGGGAATGGCCTTCATTGTAGGGGAGGGTCTACTGTCTCAGGTAATGGCCTACATTGTAGGGGAAGGTCTATCGTCTCAGGGAATGGCCTACAGTATAGGGGCGGGTCTTCTGTCTGAGGGAATGGCCTACATTGTAGGGGAAGGTCTACTGTCTCAGGGAATGGCCTACAATGTAGGGGAGGGTCTACTGTCTCAGGAAATGGCCTTCATTATAGGGGAGGGCCTACTGTCTCAGGTAAGGGCCTCCATTGTAGAGGAGGGTCTACTGTCTCAGGGAATGGCCTACAGTATAGGGGCGGGTCTTCTGTCTGAGGGAATGGCCTACATTGTAGGGAAAGGTCTACTGTCTTAGGGAATGGCCTTCATTGTCGGGGAGTGTCTACTGTCTAAGGGAATGCCCTACATTATAGGAGCGGGTCTACTGTCTGAGGGAATGGCCTACATTGTAGGGGAAGGTCTACTGTCCCAGGGAATGGCCTACATTGTAGGGGAGGGTCTACTGTCTCAGGGAATGGCCTTCATTGTAGGGGAGGGTCTACTGTTTAAGGGAATGACCTACATTGTAGGGGAGGGTCTACTGTCTCAGGGAATGGCCTTCATTGTAGGGGAGGGTCTACTGTCTTAGGGAATGACCTACATTGTAGGGGAGGGTCTACTGTCTCAGGGAATGGCCTTCATTGTAGGGGAGGGTCTACTGTTTAAGGGAATGACCTACATTGTAGGGGAGGGTCTACTGTCTCAGGGAATGGCCTTCATTGTAGGGGAGGGTCTACTGTCTTAGGGAATGACCTACATTGTAGGGGAGGGTCTACTGTCTCAGGGAATGGCCTTCATTGTAGGGGAGGGTCTACTGTCTTAGGGAATGGCATTCATTGTAGGGGAGGGTCTCCTGTCCCAGGGAATGGCCTACATTGTAGGGGAGGGTCTTCTCTCTGAGAGAATAGTCTAAATTGTAGGGGAAGGTCTACTGTCTTAGGGAATGGCCTACATTGTAGGCGAGGGTCTACTGTCTGAGGGAAGGGCCTCCATTGTAGGGGAGGGTCTACTGTCTGAGGGTTTGACCTAGATTTTAGGATAGAGTCGACTGTCTGAGGGATTGACCTAGATTTTAGGGTAGGGTCGACTGTCTGAGGGATTAACCTAGATTTTAGGGGAGGGTCGACTGTCTGAGGGAATGGCCTAAAGTCCCGGGAAGGGTTTACTCTCTTTGGAAAGAGATAACATACTTTCTCGGCGAAGAATAGGTCTAATGTTCTCAGCGAATCTTAAATATGTTTTCTTGGTTAATATGTGTACTTCAAGTCACATGTTCATGTATTATTTTTATTTCACATTCAAAACTGGAACAAAATAAGAAAAACAAAAACAAAATCGTGTAACTTATGAATTTTGAAAAGAGCAATGAGCCAGCTAATTATGGTCGCTTGGTTGAATAGTTTTAAGCTTTTGTTTTGTTTTGTAGGTCCCGGAAATTCTTCTTCTACTTTTTTAACTGGCTGTTCTGTTTCTGCTCACTGACCGGTGTTGTCCTGTCTTTCTATTTTTTCGCCGCACACTGTGTCCTACTAGTCACACTGACGTTGATCATTGTTTACAACGGAGCTAGCTATTACATGCACGTGTTCAGTGTCCGGGGTTTCGTGGATGAAATCGAATGAAGACTACTTACCTGGAACAATTCCGTCGTTCCACACACAATAGTGTGTTTGGAAGGGAGAGACAAAAGTTTCTGGACGTTTCGACAAACTGACAATCTGTGCTTGGACGTCTGGACAAACTATGCTCGCTTTTTGTGCGGGAAAAATACAGTATTTATTGTCTCCTTGGTTCGTCTTGACGGAGACAAGGTTCATCTATGCTTTTAACCTATTTTGGACATTCCATTGACAGCATATTTTTTTCAATGAAAAAAGATACTTATGCTGACAAAATCTCCTTTGGATATACTCTTGCTCCACAAACAGAATGTGTGCGTGCGCCGACACTATTTTGGACATAGACAGAATTTGGAGGCACTCCGCCAGACGTCCTTTGGAATACACGCCCAAATAACGTGTTAAGTTTACGCCTCTGGAACATCCTTGAACACACGTCGTCACATATGCCATCGGAACGTAATTTGAATAAACGCCTCCGAAACGTCCTTTGGTCATAGACTGGTTTCTTTGAACGAGTACTCGCCGACACGTCATTTGGATATACGCGTATAGAGCATCCCTTGGACAAATACGCCATTTTTGTCATTCGCCGACCCTTTGGAACTTTAAGTGTCGGTCCGTGCAGATGACGGAGAAGGGCAGCCTATTGGATCTACTCATCGAGCCGATAGCTAGAGTGTAACCTGTCTAAACTGAACACTACACTAAAACATTTCTAAAACAAAGCAATAACTGAAATGTCTCTAAACTATAAACTACGATGTATCATCTCTAAACCGGAAACTACGGTATAACATCTCTAAACCGGAAACTACGGTATAACATCTCAAAACCGGAAACTATGATGTATCATCTCTAAACCGGAAACTACGGTGTAACATCTCTAAACCGGAAATTACGGTATAACATCTATAAACCGGAAACTATGATGTATCATCTCTAAACCGGAAACTACGGTGTAACATCTCTTAACCGATAATTACGGTATAACATCTCTAAACCGGAAACTATGATGTATCAACTCTAAACCGGAAACTACAGTGTAACATCTCTAAAATGGAAATTACGGTATAACATCTATAAACCGGAAACTACGATGTATCATCTCTAAACCGGAAACTATGATGTAACATCTCTAAATCGAAAACTACTGTGTTACATCTCTAAACCGGAAACTACGGTATCACATCTCTGAACCGGAAACTACGGTGTAACATCTCTAAACCAGAAACTTCGGTGTAACATCTCTAAATCAGAAACTGCGGTGTAACATCTCTAATCTATACACTACGGTGTAACATCTCTAAACTAGAAACTACGTTATAACATTTCTAAACCAGAAACTATGGTGTAACATTTCTAAACCGGAAACTACGGTATAACATTTCTAAACCAGAAGCTACTGTGTAACATTTCTTAACCGGAAACTACGGTGTAACATTTCCAAAACGGAAACTACGGTATAACATCTCTAAACCGGAAACTACGGTGTAACATCTCTAAACCAGAAACTTCGGTGTAACATCTCTAAACCAGAAACTGCGGTGTAACATCTTTAATCTATACACTACGGTGTAACATCTCTAAACCAGAAACTACGTTATAACATTTCTAAACCAGAAACTACGGTGTAACATTTCTAAACCGGAAACTACGGTGTAACATTTCTAAACCGGAAACTACGGTATAACATTTCTAAACCAGAAGCTACTGTGTAACATTTCTAAACCGGAAACTACGGTGTAACATTTCTAAACCGGAAACTACGGTGTAACATTTCTAAACCGGAAACTACGGTATAACATTTTTTAAATAGAAACTACAGTGTAACATCTCTTAACCGGAAACTACGGTATAACATTTCTAAACCAGAATCTACGGTGTAACATCTCTAAACCGGAAACTACGGTGTAACATCTTTTAACCGGAAACTACGGTGAAACATTTCTTAACTGGAACATCAATGGAAAATCACTCAATCGGAAACTAAGGTGTAACAACTCTAAACTTGAAACTAATTTAGTCGGCAACAGTTCTGTCTGATCTAGAATATGTAATCGACAAATGGTGCCTTGTGAGCTAGTTATCAACGGCCCCTCGTTAACAAGTAATCAACTCTATGAGTATTTTGTGAACTATAGATATCATCAAACGATGCCTTTTGACTGAACTAGTAATCATCACACGGCACGATATGAACTTTGAATTTGTCAGATGATGCCTCGTGAACTCGTAAACTTCAAATGGTGTAATCTTAACTAGCACTAGTCAAATGGTGTAATCTTAACTAGCACTAGTCAAATTGCGTATTGTGAACCAGTTATCGTCAAATAACATATGATGAACTATGAGTATACTACTCGGCCTGTTATGTTATTGCATTTTAAACGAGAACAATTAACACACAAACACATTGTTAGCTGTTCTATCTCGCGAGCCTCATGGTAACGGTGGCATTGGAATCATGGACTCTGCGGCTCTAATATAATCATCCCGATTTCATTCCATCACGGAGACTCGACATTCACTCCGATCTCACCCCATTGTTAAGTTAGAAGCGTCAACACAGCATTTCCATAAATTAAACTTTATTTAGTTTACAAGAATCAGGAAACAAATTATATCAACTTACCATGTACATTTTGTATGTAAATTACTCTTACACTAGACGCGCGCAGAGGGTCATAATGTAGATGGAAACCGGACTTACCAGATAAAACCCACGTGATCGGGCAGGTGCTCCAATACCTTTTCAGGTCAGATTGGAGAATCGAACCCCAGTCGTCATGTTGAAAGGCGAGCGTGATAACCACTGCGCCACCTGACCAAACATAATCTCCATATGTATGTCAGCCCTTTCGTGTTGATGTTTAGAGGAGACATTTCATTGTGTCATGTTTCATTACCAATCTGCACAAACTTCGACAACAAACATATCTTACATCTGGTTTATAATTACTAATATTATATGACCAACATTTTCCCTTTGTCCTCATTGATTTGATCATAATCACGCGGAGGTCCCTGATTTGTTATATCGACTAGGTGATGATAATCTTTAGAAACAGCATGTCAGTATTCATTGTATGACGTCATTTAAATTGTGGTGTCACAATGCTTTCTGTCATATGCAACTTTTCATACGCTTCATTTTATTTTTTTAACATTATTCAAGTATGGCATCTGATATAATAAATTAAGGGCTTTTATTTCTGGCATATGTGCGAAGTCTCGGTCAATATCACTTTCTCGTGTTCATATAACCACATTCATCTCGGTCAATATCACTTTCTTAGGTCCATATAACCACATTTATCTCGGTCAATATCACTTCCTCAGGTCCATATAACCACATTCATCTAGGTCAATATCACTTCCTCAGGTCCATATAACCACATTCATCTCGGTCATTATCACTTTCTCATGTCCATATAACCACATTCATCTCGGTCAATATCACTTTCTCATGTCCATATAACCACATTCATCTCGATCAATATCACTTCATCAGGACCATATAACCACATTTATCTCGGTCAATATCACTTCCTCAAGTCCATATAACCACATTCATCTAGGTCAATATCACTTCCTCAGGTCCATATAACCACATTCATCTCGGTCATTATCACTTTCTCATGTCCATATAACCACATTCATCTCGGTCAATATCACTTCATCAGGACCATATAACCACATTCATCTCGGTCAATATCACTTCCTCAGGTCCATATAACCACATTCATCTCGGTTAATATCACTTCCTCAGGTCATTATACATTCACCTTAACAGAAGTCTATAATTGACAAATATGGACACGTTGTTATTGTGTGTGTTTCAAGTTGTGGTGTTTTTACTGCAATAAAGATGATATTTATTATTACTGAGTCTGGTGTTATGAGTTTACTCAGTCGTCCCGAGGATCAACTACAACCAAACTTCCAAGGGAGGTAATAACGAATGATCACATCACCCACGGACTGGAAACAAAAATATCGATGTGAAGATTTCGTGAAAAGTCTCCGTTTGTACACTGATTGACTCTTTATCTCACGACGAACTGACAATCTGGGCAATGATTTATCTGTGTTACAGGCCACAAAGACTGAACCGTATATCAATGTTAGAAAGCGGAACATTGGTGTCTGTATGTAATGAGTTACCATGCTCGCTCACTCGACCCGTGGACGACAGTTCCCTTACTGTCGTGTTCTCGCTCCCTCGTACGTAAACATGTTATTGAACAACCCTCCAGGATTTTCATTAATTTCCTTCCACAAACTAAATTTGTAATGAACTCAATCTACACTGAAATGAGATAACTTATATATTACGTAATATAATAAAAAAAAAAACACACACTGTAACTTGATAATTATCTAAAGAGAGACAGAGAGAGAGAAGCCTCTCTTCGTTCGGCGATGAAGATGGTGATCCATACTCAGACACAATTTTTGAACAATGGCTAAAAAAAATACGTATCGTCAGAAAATATAGAGATTTCTCATTCTGTGCTCGGCGCTTAAAGAAATTAACATATGACATCAAACTTAGAACAAAATAGTAAAAAATGTAAATGGTATTATAACAGTGCAATACATGTCGGTCATAAGGAAATATGAATTTCTGTTCGTTTCATCCTCATATGACCCTGGCTGTCGGCTGTCGGTAACTCCGTCCTCATATGACCCTGGCTGTCGGACATTCCGTCCGTATATGACCCTGGCTGTCGAGCACTCCGTCATCATATGACCCTGGCTGTCGGACACTCCGTCCTCATATGACCCTGGCTGTCGGACACTCCGTCATCATATGATCCTGGCTGTCGGACACTCCGTCCTCATATGACCCTGGCTGTCGGACACTCCGTCATCATATGACCCTGACTGTCGGACACTCCATCCTCATATGACCATGGCTGTTCGGACACTCCGTCCTCATATGACCCTGGCTGTCGGACACTCCGTCATCATATGGCCCTGTCTGTCGGACACTCCGTCCTCATATGACCCTGGCTGTCGAACATTCCGACCTCATATGATCCTGGCTGTCGGACACTCCGACCTTACATGACCCTGGCTGTCGGACATTCCGACCTCATATGATCCTGGCTGTTCGAATACTCCGTCCTCATATGATCCTGGCTGTCGGACACTCCGACCTCACATGACCCTGGCTGTCGGACATTCCGACCTCATATGATCCTGGCTGTTCGGACACTCCGATCTCATATGACCCTGGCTGTTCGAATACTCCGTCCTCATATGACCCTGGCTGTTCGGACACTCCGACCTCATATGACACTTGCTGTTAGGACACTCCGATCTCATATGACCCTGGCTGTCGGACACTCCGATCTCATATGACCCATGCTGTTCGGACACTCCGATCTCATATGACCCTGGCTGTTCGGACACTCCGATCTCATATGACCCTGGCTGTTCGAATACTCCGTCCTCATATGACCCTGGCTGTTCGGACACTCCGACCTCATATGACCCTTGCTGTTCGGTCACTCCGTCCTTATATGACCCTGGCTGTTGCGAGGACGTTAAACCACAAACAAACTTCGGACACCTTCGTTTCCGAAAAGAGCTTTTAATTTACTCCGAAAGTTTCCGAACAGTCTTGAAACTTGTTAGTCCGGACATAAATACAGATAATTTACCTTGGGAATGTTTAAAAAATTATACGCATATCACGTAATTATAAACCGAGATAACATAAACATTCGTGACAGTATACGTTTCGATAAATGGACGCCATAATTTATACCTTTAAATCGTACTTTTTCATGTGCCACATCAAATACACGGTACATCAACGTCAGCACAATTATTATTTTTAAAATGGCTAACTATTTTTATTGTTGTATACAATTTTATTTACATTATACACATAATAAAAACGTCCTGGGACACACCCCAGTGACGTAGTAGCACATGTACCGTACAACTGGACGGACAATATACATACAATGTATGTACCATATATATCATCAATTACTTACTACAGTTATTGAACGGATATATAAATTAAAAGCATAACATGTGTTGTAACAAGAATGTAGCAGACTCAATCTCACACAGAACGAAAGCATGTTTTATGGCTATACCTTTATCCCGATCCATATGACAAGTCTGACCAAATATGAAGAATAGACAGTCTCACAGTGACATCCTACAAGTATATACAAATAACACAGACATAATACATAAAACTTGTTACAAATATACCTGTACATAGGTGTGCATTCCATCACCCTTGTCACAATGGCTCGTCATTACTGGTACACTGAAGGAATTTCTTTTATAATAAATCCTATCTTTATATAAAATTGCAAATTTCTTTACCTTACCACGTGACATTTAACTATAATTTCAACTTAATGAATTGCATGTAATGAATAACTTATCTAGCAATTACATTTAACGACTCAGCCTACAAAATAAGCTGTAAATGGTGAATGGATTCAGAGTTACTTTTACAAACAAGGAAGAAACTTTGAACACACAAATAAAAGAAGTGTAAAGGAAGAATAAAAGAAAGTAATAAAATACAGACACACATACCCCTTTATGGAATGGAGGCACTTTTAACAGGAACTTATATTGTCAAGTCATTTCCTACAACTCGTTTCCATTAGTACTGTAATATATGTTTTCTGGAGAAAAAATACATACTGATTGTAACGAACTGTTTCCAATATAATACAATGCAATAAGATCTACAAAATTTAAAAAACAACTTCTCCTCTTTCCTCGTACCCCCTCTTTCCTCGTACCTCCTCTTTCCTCGTACCTCCTCTTTCCTATCCTTTCCTCCCCTATTTTCCATTTTTACTCATATACTCAACGCATTGCTGCATATTTCGTTCTCAAATATTAAAGTCATAAAACATGTGGTCCTCTAAACCTAACATTCCCAGTACAATATCCGACCTAGTGCGAACTGGAAAATTTTGCATAAGTTTTGGACAGAAATGGTGTGTGGTCTCTTTACATACACAAATAATAAAACAACACAATATCAATGCTTTCACATACTTTATTTTTGAATTAAAATTAAATCGCTCTACTACAAGAACAAAGTGTTATTTATTGTTCATAGCGACATACTTAATACAACGAAAACTTTTGAATAGAACTGAAAACATGCGGGAGGGTGAAACTATGTCAGCAAATAATACAAATACGCATTAATACAATAAACATGTAACAGTAGAGAACAAGTTTACAGTTAACAAAGGAAGCTTAACAATCAGTGTATCCTCCTGGACAGTTAATTAGTCCGAGTAGTAAAACAGGACGAGAAAACAGTGCAGGAAAGTCAGGTAATGTAAGTCTCTGACACGAAAATTGACGATACTCACAAAGTGGCAGAGACGTATCCGAGGTACAGGTTTCCGGTACCTCCTACAACAGAATACATGAAAACAAGAAATTTCGTGACGCTGCGATTAAGTACACGTGCACGATGATAAGATATAAATGGTTAACTTCTTGTTAACCATGTTTCCAAATACTCCAAACTCTAGTGACGAATTTATTGTTCACAAAATTATTTATCTGAAAGTATTAGCTAAACTTTAGTGCTTATAGTACTGTGAATAATAAAAATAGATAATTGTTGACTATTTCACTAATATTTTCAAAACAAATAAAGGATAAACTCAGGTTAAACATTATAAAATATGTATATAGCATTTTAATTCGTTGTCTTCTGGTTTAATTTTGATAAATATTTTAAACTAGTATTAAAATCAAGGGAGGTAACACACGACACTTTTAAGGTATAGATGACGCAAATAAGTTTGTTGCTGTAGAGTTCCCATTTTTGTTATAAAAAATATTATCAAATATGCTTAGTAATACAGTTAGAATATCTATGTGAGTTAACGACTAACACCTGACGGCAAAAGTTGACGGAAAGTACTCGAAAGATCCGATGACAGAGTCTAATGGTGATGTAGTTACATGAGAGTTTGGAGTTATCTCTCTTAGAACTCATTTTGTATGTTTTCCAGCATCCACGTCTCTTTTCCCTCTCCCGCCCGTCATTTCTACATCTTTTATTATTTTCTGCCGTCATACATTTTATAACTACATAAGTCCGACTATTTTATAGGCCGTAGGTCAAAATAATTCCAACATAATATTACTTCTAAAATAAAGGTTATCTACATTTTAACAACTTTGAAATAAACTAGATCTATATCAAGTTGAACTCCTGTTGAGTAGATTGTTTATAAAATATCAAAAGCACATCACGACGAACTTAAAAAAAAACGTTTTATTTCCCAAAA